CCTCCCTTGAGGTCCTTATAGACACTGATCAGGTCCCCTCTCAGCCGTCTCTTCTCCAGGCTGAACAGGCCCAGCTCCCTCAGCCTCTCCTCATAGGGCAGATGTTCCAGGCCCCTGATCATCCTTGTAGCCCTGCGCTGGACTCTCTCCAGCAGCTCCACATCCCTCTTGTACTGTGGAGCCCAGAACTGGACACAATACTCCAGATTTGGAAGGAAGCACCCCAACTTCATTATAAGTATCACACTTCTTGCATGACGCTTTAGGGAGCTTGAAGAATCAGAGATATTTTATTTTGTTTAAATAGTATTGAAATTTGTTTAAATAGTATTAAAAGGTGTCTCTTTAAAGGTACAGAAATGAAGCGGCCCAGGGGAGAGGGCGATAGCCCTTGAGGATGAACCCCTTTGCCAGAAGGAAGGCGTATAGTGTACCTTTTTATTTGATCTTTGCCAAGTCTTCCCTGGACAGAAAAGAGCAGGCCTCCTCCTTTTGGATTAAGTTGAGTTAAAAATTGCATTTTCCACATTATTTGGCAATCCACCAAGTGCTTTTCACCTACCTGCTTCAACATCTCAGCTTTAGTTGCGGCCCTCTTTCAGCAGAGGGAGCTTTTGGAACAAGCTGCTCGCTCTGCCACCGCCCGCATATCCTTGCGTCCTCAGTCCTAAATGCTTCAATGTCTAGCTGTGACACTGTGGCAGATTCTGATGTAGGGTTTAAAAAGGAAACTTTAGTGACAGTACACCTCTCTTTTTTTTTTCTTTCTTTCTTTTCAGGTGTTAAGCGTCTCCCATAACTTTTTTTTCCTCTTCCAATTAGAGGAGTAGTGACATTTATTACAACTAACCCGCTAATGAATAAAGGAAATCACATGGTTATAATATAGTATTTCCTTACAGTTTCATATGTATGTGCTTAGATATGGAGCTGGGTGCTCTTAGGAGCATATCTGCATAATCTCTACAGTGTGTCTGTGAATGTGCCAGTATATAAGTTATTTGTGTACAGTCCTAATATCCCCTAGATCTTTATAAAAGTAATAAAACTACATGGAGCATAGTCACTCATTTGTTATGATGCTTCTGAAATAAAGCCTATTTCATGCAAATATAAGATGGTATAGTTTAAGAGGAATGTTATATTTTAAAGAATACAACTGTTCAGTCAGATTTATTATTTATTGTAAAATATATGTCTGATCGCTTTATGCAGTGTATACAAAGCAGAAGAGGCTTTGTATACATGTGTATGGACATATACACACATATGTATATGCACACCTTTATAGATAATTGTCTAAGAAGAAGGTGGCATGTCACTTGGTTATTCTTTTTAAAATATTGAAAGCATTTATTTCCATAATACTTTGTTACATATATTTAAGCAATTTTCATAAATTTCATGTCTCATAAAATTCACAATTACCAGAGTTAATCCCAAATGAAAAAACTAAAATCTTAAAGTAGTTTATGCTTTGTCTCTTTTCTTTTTTAACATTCTTTTTTAACATATTGGGGTATTCAAAGCTGAAGATTCCTCTTTCCCCCCTCTTTTTTTTTTTTCTTTTTTCCTGCTATCTGGAAAATCAGCTGAGTTAGAGGCCTGACAATGCTATTATGAGGAGTTTGTCAACACTCAATTCATTCCCGTTTGATGGGGAGAACATATAAGCGTAGAGTAACTGCAAAATACATGGACCTATTTTTTATACTGCATGAGTTGGAGTAAACTCTAGCTTGGATGGTGATAAAAACTGATGTTCGCCTGACTAGTAAAGAAGCTGCATGAATTCCCTTTTTACCGTCTGACAAATGTCTATTCCAGACAACTATATTGTGCTACAATCCCCACAGCCTCTGTAGCAGGGCAGCAAGTAACAAGCTCCCAGTTTGAAGGACTCACCAGCACATGTTTACTTGCTGTGTATCAGTGCTACTAATTAATCTTTAGGTATTGAAGGTAAAAGGAAAAATCAGAACGAATTAAAAAGTAAAAAAGCAGATCAAGATCACTCTAAAATTGAACAATCTGTGATTTTTCTTTTTCTTTTTTTTTTTTTTTTTTTTTTTGATTTAGCTCTTCAGGTGCTGGAAACGTAGCAGACCGTGTCTTGGCTCAATTGTTAACGGAAATGGATGGGATAGAACAGCTAAAGGATGTGACAATTTTGGCAGCTACCAACAGGCCAGACATGATAGACAAGGTAAGAATAAATGCGCTGTTCTCTTGTGAAGACCAACTTCTGGAATAATTCAGTTCTCTTTTTGTTTTGTCTTCCAAACTGTTGTCTAATCAATTTAATGATTAAGGGGAAAAGTATGAAAATGAAGACAAGGCAAAGGAAAAGAATATATCCCTCACTTTTATTCGTGCACAGTTTTTAATAAAACAAATGTTCTGTAATAGCTGTAAGTATCAATTTCCTAAAAGACATTTTCCTTAAGTCAAGCTCATTGAATTTGTGCAACAACAGTTCTGTCGAACTGCTTTTGTATGTTTTCCTTCTGTTGCGTTTGTTTACACAGGAGTTTGCTGGACTGCTGGTTTCATTAGTTACTTCCTCTCAAAAGATGAAACATCTCCTCCGAGCTGTTAGCTGCTTGCCAGCAGCACGGGTTCCAGCAGCAAGCAGCACAGTTTCTCAGCACATCCTGAGGCAGCTCTGTTGAAATGACATGAGCAGCTCAAGTCTGTAGAAATGAGAGAGTTGTAACACCTACTGCAGAGAACTTCCAAACACAAAACCAACCCAGCCATCCTCTATAAAAATACACTTTAGAACAGCCTATGACTCGTGTGTCCTCTCGTGGCTAGGAGACATTTGGTAGTGTAAGTTGCCAGGATTTACTCCACAATTTTTCACCTTTCGTATATTGCTGACAAGCCAGTCAGATTTATTCTTTTACCATCTCTTCTTGGGTTCCTTAGAAGTTTTATAAATATTTTTAACATAACAAATTCTTCCATTGTAAGGTATTTGTGGACGGCTTCTTTCTGTTTGTGTTGGAACATTTTCAGGCAGAAAATGCTTATGAAGAGCACACTTTTAAAGTAAGGGTTATATACATATGGAGGAAGTTCTAAGAATAAAAGTCAGATTTTGGCTCCAGAAGACAGCACTCTTCCCTTTGAGCTGAAGGAAGCCACTGTGCTGGCTGGTGTCCTGATGAAGGCTTCCTTAAACACTGTATGTGTGCCAGACATGGCAAGGGCGAGCTAGCAGAGGATTTTCAATAAAAGATGATAAAGCACATCAGTGAAAAGTACACTTGTGCAAAACTGATTTTTTCCACAGAAGATCTTGGTTTTGTCAAACTGCTTTCAGTTTTCTTTGGTAAGCGTTCTCTTTGGGCTCAGGCTGAGCTGAGTTTGAAAAATAGCACTTTGTTTAGCAGAAAGAGATTTTCATTCTGGGCTGATGGAATGTTTTTCGGTGTTATCATTGTCACTATTTGAAATTCAGTTGTCTCTTTTTTCCCCTTTCCTAGATTTCCCTTGGGCCCACTGCCTCTTCAGTGAGCACTGTTTTCCTATGTTTTAGCTTTTATTTGCGATATTTGCATTTCCTTGGGACAGTTTTACACAGGACTCGATGCATGAAAAATAAGTTGACTGTATCTGCACTGCTGATGCAAATCCAGGCCTCTTGCCCTAGGATAGAACATCTAAATTTTAATCTGGGGGTAAAAATTCACATCTTTCATGTACCTGAACTATACAGTGTCAGTGAGAGGAAATATTTGGTTCTGAAAATATCTGTGTGTGTATACATCTTCCTAGAAATACCTGATTTTAGCTATGGTGCCTTAGACTTGGGAGATGGATATATCACTGGTATGGGACCTAATGAGAAGAGTGAGGGGTTTATGCAGAAATGAGCTAAATGCTGCAACTTCATTGAATCGAGACAAGGTGATACTTGCAATCAGGTCATTAAGGTTGAACTGGAAACAGGTTATGGAAACCCCTTTATTGTCCCTGGCTTTATTTTTTTTATTGTCAGCAAAGTCAGAAAACTGTGTGTGGATCTAAAGAGCTGTGGTAATGACCATGGGCAAGGTTTGGGGATATTTTGGTGGCTGAAAGGAAGACTGTCGTGCACACGTGTCCCTGTGGAGCTCTGAGCAACTCGAATGGCAGAGGCTTGAAAGAAGGGAAACTGAAAACTAATAACATACTTGGGCTTAAATTGCAACGCTAGGCTTGCATATTCTTTCCCCAAGTAAAGGTGATACCACTTTAGGATTTAACGGATAGGATTTAAATAAAAGAAATGCATGTGACAACCCTTTCAGAGAAGTGTACTATATGATTATAGGAATTTTATTAGTGAGAAACCATGAATGGATATTTTGGATTTTTTAAAAACTGTTTTGACTGAGATATAAAGAAATGAAAATTGGGATAACTTTCTAGGAAGAGTTCTCTTACAGAATAGCAAAACAAAATTTCACCAGTCTGCAAGAAGGGGAAGTTTAAGGCGCAATTCAAAGGGCCTGGTAAATCAGACTGCAGCTGGTATGGCTCACATCATGCTTTATGCAGGCTGGACCAGGCTGCTGTCCTCTCCTGGGTATGTGCAATATTTCCAGTGCACTGTTGCACTTTTTCTTTCCTGGAAGAAAGATGACTGACACCAGGAAGCATTACTGCTGTGAGCTTGACTTAATGGGTGATCTTTCAGTTTGGGTTTTTAGTTTACTTTGTGATCAGTCATGCCTTTTGAAAATGTAAGGTTATTAAATCAATTTAATATTTCATATGAAAATATTGGTTCAGGTATGTATTCCAGTAATAAATGTCTGGTTCACATGGATGTATGATGATCATGCAGTCGTTTTTAATGAATGTACCTTACATATTGTATAAAGGCACAAAGCAACCTTTGTTTTTTACTTCCACATACCAGGGGCTGGGAATATACCCGGTATATCTTTTGGTGACTATAATTTAGTCTTTCGAAGTGAGAAATGTTTGAGGAATGTTTGCTTTGTAACTTTTATATGGCAGTAATAATCCATTCATCATCTTCATTTACATGGCTGCTGCTTAATTAACAAATATATGAGAATTAGTCCCTTGTAGTTTGAAAAAAGCACATGGGAATATCAAATGCAAAAGTGTAATATTGATGCAGAGTCTAATGCAAGATTCATCACCACCACAAACACAACAGAGTGATGTTTAGTCTGGTGTACAGACTTTGAGCCAGCCTTTAGAAAGTTATGTTTAGTGGTAAGCTTGCTTTGGCTTGTTACAAGCACCTATGAATAAGGTAATTTCTCTAAGACATCATCACAGTATTGAAATATTATTCTGGTTTTAAGATGTGTCCTGTGTTTTAATGGGACACTTTGCTAACTTTGCTTCTCATCCATGTGATGCTAGAAATACTTGGGGATAGGTTCTGTTTTTCCTAAGAAAACAAAACCAGCATGTACTGTTTACATCCCATGTATGGTATAGCAAGTGTGATTTCTATTAGAAGGGAAGTAAGATGTTCTGGAACAAGGTGTTCTAAACATTCTTTGAAAGTGATAAAAAACCAAACACGTTCAGTAATATTAAAAAAGAATCCTCCCTTTTATGAAATAGGTGGGCTTGACTCTTTGCTCTAGAAGTAGAATTGATGAGCAGTAATGGAAAAATTCTTTTAGCTTTTGTTAATTTGTACACTCAAGAGTGTTTTCTTTTATGTGTGTGTGTGTATATATATATATATAATATTTTGCAGTCATTTTATGGAGCTGCTAATTATTCAAAACTTGTCCATGTTTTCCCATGTATCAGTTGGAGTAACAAGAGCATCACTCTTCCCTACAACTTTGCATAAAACATTTTGAATGCCATGTATATTTTGATTGGCTGGAAATTTAAACATAGATATGCACAAGCTTCCCTATGTAGCCTACCAAATTTCTGTGGGACAAAACCTAGACCCGCTCACCAATTTTTTTGTGCATGTGGTTTTCTTTAGTTTGTTGGTTGGTATTGTTTTTCTCTGTGGTAATCTCTGTTTTCCTAAGCATTTAGTACTGGGCCTAACTCTTGGGCGAGCAGGATGAATGGCTCTCATTACCTGCCCGGGCAGATTATCTTTTTCCTCTTAAGCAGTGTTTCAATCTCCATTAGCAAGAGTGCACTGAGGGAAGGGAGAGACTGTCAGATCCTCTGGGTGAATGTTTCAGCACAGGAAGGAAGATGCATGTAGCTGCAAAATAGCATTTTACCTCCTGCTGGGTCAAATTTGAATGTCAAACACATTAGCTGTGATGTAAAACACGAGGCGTTGAGTGAAGTTACGGTTTGTGGTACGGGATGACATCCCGGTGCTCCTGACAGTTTCACTTCTGCTTATCACAGGGTGTAGAAAAGATGTATCCTCAAATATGCTATTTGCATAAGAATGACAGGATGTGACGGGACAAATGAAGATGGATGGATGCTGCACTGTCGGTGCTGCCCGTTGTCACCAGATGGATGGTGGTCTGGGCTTCATCGCTGCTCGCGGCCCCGGCGCAGCCCGCGCCAGAAGCCACGCGGGGCCCTTCAGGGCTCCTGAGCTGCATCGCTGTAAACGCACCGTTAGTCCAGGAGAGCTTCCAGTCTTGAGGAGGCTCCCGTCTTGAAGTATCTTGTGTGCTAGTATAAATACATATACCGATTTGTGTTATCATGTGCAGGGGAATTTTCTTCTGTCCTTTTGCAAATTTATTTTGGTGTTTAAAAATCCCTTCTCCCCAGCCTTCCCCCCTCATTTTCTCCTTCTTTCACCTTATCTTACTCCACCCCCAAGTCCTGGTCCGTATTATACCTCACAGAAGCTCTTTTGGCTTCAGTGTATTAACCACTAGGGTTGAATTCAGCTTGTTTAGTTTCAAAACCACGTCTGTACTACCGGTTGCCTGTTCTGCTCATGTGAAGAAAATAAAACTGCAGCCTGTATTTTCCCCAGCAACTGCCAAGCATGAGGAAAGGAAATAAGAATCACTTCTCCTGTGGTTCGTTTTGATTTTGGCGGAGTTCTTTTGGTCAGAGCAGTCAAACAGAGGTTCACCAAGTTGATCCAACCTTCAAAATGTTGGTTACCATGAAGTTATAGGACAACCTTAATTTCAATTGGCTTATTTTGATGAAAATAAAAAATGCATGATAGAACCATTTGGCAGAATCAGTAAAGAAATTATAATGTCTTGCCTGCAG